GGAAAAGAGGAACTGAGGGGAATCTTGAGTGGGAGGAGCATGTGCCTCACGGGGGATCATCCCACAAAATTGTTACTTTTAGCTCTAGAATCTTCCGAGAATGTCAGTGCAGGCGCAGACAAGACCCATTTGTGCATTCAGAGGCCACAAAGAAACACTGCTTTATCTGTGTGCAGACCAAAGCACCAAAACTTACTTCTTGATAATGAGACAAATGTTACAGATAACAGATGGATTTAACTTTATTTTTAAATTTATTTTTATTCTTTTTTTTTACATTTAAACTTCAAACAATATGCATTTTATAATCTGAAAACAGATGCATGATTAAAATACACAACTAGAAAATATAATAAAAATGAATCTAGTGACCCATCTAAATAATAAACAAAGAATGCCTAAACTATCCATCCGCATGCTGATCTTCATACTGTACACCAAAAAGCTGTTCTGTCTTTTACCACTACAGTTGTCAAATAACTACTTGGCTGCATCAACTACAAGCTGCTCTTTATGGTCTTTCTCCATATAATTGTGAAATACATGTCTTTTCCTCTTCTTGATTATGCTTCTTCCTTACAGAACCTTCCTTCAGAAAGAAGGTATCCACTGGACATTTGATGGTGTTTTCACTATACATAACTATGTAACAGGGAAGGTTATTTTTACAGAATGTTCTTTACAATATCTGACCTCAATTGCTGTACAAAGTGCATTTATTTTAATACTGTATTTACATGTAGCCGTCATCTATTCAGTGAATCTTGTGCAAGTTGAAACCAATAGATTCATTCATCTATGTTCTCCTTCAGTGTCGAATTGAAAATTTTGCCATTGCTGCTTGATTTCATTGACAATTCCTTCTGCAATATTTTAAAGAAACAGTTACTTTAGAAGTATATTTTCAGATTAGAAGTGATGTAGCAGGTTTATAATATAAGCCACTGTCCCCCACCTTTAATTTCTTCACCTGGAAACCCAGACCATCCAACAATTTTACTCTGTCTGCTCCTCTCAACTTCCCTTGATGAATGTTCTTGTTGCAGCAATGAATGATCTAGTTACTGAGAAGTGAATCCTATTGACTGTAATAGGAACCAACTCTCTGGGAAGATTCAAGTCTAAGTGACTTAGTAAGATTTAGCCTATAATGATGTCTTAAAATTCAGTCACGAAAACTTCCATAATATTGACTGACATAATTAAACAACTTGTGGCTGAGGATTGCATCAGCCACAAAATTCTTCTAAAAATAAGAATTAAAAAATATTCCAAAAATAAGAATTAAGTATTTAAATATAAATGTATTTGATTGAAAGCATCACTATATTTTCCTGCTTACTTCCTCCATTCCTACTTAAAGCACACTTCTCTATATCTATCACAGCACATTCCTTGAATCTTAGGACTACATTCTGTTTTGATATGGAATTTTCTTTGTCTCGCCAAACACAAAACTTTAGCTACATTACTCTCATGTGCTCATTTTACAAAAACTTAACAAAAATAAACAGTCAGAGGTAACTGTTCTTTTCCACCCAAAGTGTTAAACAGCATGAAAGCTAACAAGTACAAAGGGATGAGCTACAGTCCTTTGCTGTGGAGGACCATTTTCAAAATTTTTTAAAGAATATTTGTATCCAACAAATATTTTTTAAAGAATATTTGTATCCACCAAGCCAATAGAGCCAGCAGATAACCCAAAATATAAGAACATAACCTCCCACATATATATATGTCAGCTGGATAAAAAAAGCTCCTGCGATTAGGAAAACACACACACCAAAAACAGTGAGGGAGCGAGCCAACTCCATTACAAATGAATCCACAGTTAAGATATGAAGGACCTGAAGGTAGAAAACTGCAGAGTGCAGAAAGTGGATAGATGTGACGTGGTATGTGGTAAGGAACTCTTCACGGATTGCTGCTATGACATGGTGAAGGGGCTTGAGTAATTCAGAGAAGTTATGGGCTATGCCGTGCAGGGACACCCAAGACGGACAGGTCATAGTGGAGAGTTCTGACTAAACGCAATCCACCTGGAGCAGGAACTGGCAAGACATTCCATGGACAGAAACAAAAAGTTAAAAGATATGACGCTGGAAGATGAGCCCCTCAGCTCAGAAGGCTTCCAACACGCTACTGAGGAAGAGCAGAGGACAAGTACAAGTAACTCCAGAGGTAATGAAGTGGTTGGGCCAAAGCTGAAAGGACGCTCAGGCGCGGATGCGCCTGAAAGTGAAAGGAAAGTCCGATGCTGGAAAGAAAAATACTGCATAGGAACCTGGAATGTAAGACCTATGAACCTTGGGAAGATGGATGTGGTCAAACAGGAGATGGCAGGAATTAACACTGACATCCTGGGCGGCAGTGAACTAAAATGGATGGGAATGGGTGAATTCAATTCAGACAATTATCATATCTACTACTGTGGGCAAGAATCCCATAGAAGAAATGGAGTAGCCCTGAACCATTTTATCTGCTACAGCAGTGGTTCTTAACCTTTGTTACTCGGATGTTTTTGAACTGCAATTCCCAGAAACCCCAGCCAGCACAGCTGGTGGTGAAGGCTTCTGGGAGTTGCAGTCCAAAACTCCTGAGTAACCCAAGGTTAAGAACCAGTGAGCTACAGAATTAGAGGAAGATTTTTTTGAAATTAAGTCACATTTAATTTCCCCACTCAAGAGATAAAAGGAACAACAAGTAAGTTTGGCCTTGGGTTTCAAAACAAAGCAGGGCAAAGGCTAATAGAGTTTTGTCAAGAGAACAAGCTGGTCATCACAAGCTCTCTTTTCCAACACAAAAGGCAACTCTACACATGGACATCACCAGATGGGCAATACCAAAATTTATTTATTTATTTATTTAATATCCTGCCTATCTGGTCGGATTAGGCACACTCTAGGCGGATTGATTATGTTCTCTGCAGCCAAAGATGGAGAAGCTCTATAGTATAGAGTCTATACAGTCAGCAAAAAACAAGACCTAGAGCTAATGACCTGGTGGCTCTGATCATCAGCTTCTTAAAGCAAAATTCAAGCTTAAACTGAAGAAAGTAGGAAAAACCACTGGGCTAGTTAGGTGACATGTGCTGGATTATGGAGAAAACCAGAGAGTTCCAAAAAAAATCTACTTCTGCTTCATTGACTACGCAAAAGCTTTTGACTGTGTCAACCACAACAAACTATGACATGTTCTTAAAGAAATGGGAGTGCCTGGCCACCTTATCTATCTCCCGAGAAATCTATATGTGGGACTAGAAGTGACAGTTAGAACCGGATATGGAACAACTGATTGGTTCAAAATTGGGAAAGGAGTATGATAAGGCTGTATACAGTATTGTCCCCCTGCTTATTTAACTTATATATGCATAATACAGTGGTGCCCCGCATAGCGACAATAATCCGTGCAGCAAAAATCGCTGCAAAGCGATTTCGTCGCTATGTGGATTTAAAAAGCCCATAGGAATGCATTGAAACCCCTTCAATGCGTTCCTATGGGCAAAAACCTCAATTTAAACTGAAAATCCTCCATACAGCCGCCATTTTCGCTGCCCGGTAAGCGAGGAATCCGGGCAAAAACACAGCGGGCAGCCATTTTTTACCAGGCGGCCATTTTGGAACCGCCGACAAGCTGTTGGAAAATCATCGCTATGCGATGATCGGTATGCGAAACAGGGTACCAATCATCGCAAAGCGATTTTCCCTATCTAAATCATCGTAATGCAATCACACAAAAAAATTGTCACTATGTGGTCGTTAAGCAAGGCGCCCGTTAAGCGAGGCACCACTGTACATCATGTAAAAGGCTGGACTGGATGAATCAATCCCAAAATGGAATTAAGATTGCCAGAAGAAATATCAACAACCTCAGATGTGCAGATGATATGACTCTCATGGCAGAAAGTGAGGAGGAATTAAAGAATCTCTTAATGAGGGCAAAAGAGGAGAGCGCAAAAATGGTCTGAAACTCAACATCAAAAAAACTAAGATCATGGCCACTGGTCCCATCACCTCCTGACAAACAGAAGGGGAAGATATGGAGGCAGTGACAGATTTTGCTTTCTTGGGTTCCATGATCACTGCAGATGGAAACAGCAGCCACAAAATTAAAAGTCGACTGCTTCTTGGGAGGAAAGCAATGAGAAACCTAGACAAAACCTTAAAAAGCAAAGATATGCATAGTCAAAGCTATGTATGTTTTTTTCCAGTAGCAATGTATGGGAGAGCTGGACCATAACAAAGGCTGACTGCTGAAGAATTGATGCTTTTGAATTGTGGTGCTGGAGGAGGCTCTTGAGAATCCCCTGGACTGCAAGCAGAACAAACCTATCCATTTTGAAGGAAATCAAGCCTGAGT